CCCACCCCCACCCATGTAGAAAAAAATCCTAGTCCCAGTGAGTACCTGCCACTCCCACATCACATTCCACGTCTTCTCATAAGCAAAATCAACAAAAAAGCTTACAAAAGAACACCAAATAACAGCTCTTCACAGATCATAAGGGACTCTTCCACTCCCTTAAAAGTTAAAAAATAGACAGGCAATAGATAGGAAAAGAAAAACAGAATGCCAGACAGCTAACGACGAATAACGTATCGAAAGAAGGAAAAGAAATTTTTTAAAATATAGTGAAGTAAAGCTACTCGTAATTTAAAACAAGGGAAAAAAAGAGATAAGGAAAATACAAAACAAAAGGAAATAAGGTCCCAAGAGACCACAAATAGCATCAGTCTTTTTTCACAACCTCTCATGTTTCTCTCAACACACCCTAACCCGTTCCCAATCTGCTCATCAACTCATTCTAGCCAACTTATCAAGAAACGGAAAGGGATTCTGCATATCTCTCTCTGCCTCCCCCCCCCCCTCTCTTTCTCTTTCTACCTCTCTCTGTTAGAGTATATGCTCTCTTTCGCCTTATGGGCGCGCACGTGTGTGCATGTGTGTGTGTGTGTGCGTGCGCGCGCGCGCGCGCGCGCGTGTGTGTGTGTGTGTGTGTGTGTGTGTGAGTGTGTGTTCTCTCTGTATGTGCTCCTCTTCTCACTCTGTATATGTATATATGTGAATGTGCGTGCATGTGTGGGTGCGTGCGTGCATGTGTGGGTGCGTGCGTGTGTGTGTCCTCTCTGTATGTGGCCCTCTTCTCTCTTTGTATGTGTGTATGTGTGTGTGTGTGTGTGTGTGTGTGTGTGTGTGTGTATGTGTGTGTGTGTCTCCCTTAACATTTCTCTCTTTCTGCCTCTCTCCCTCTCTCTCACTCCCTCTTTCTACCTTTGTCTTTCGCCCACCCCCGTCCAGATTCAGAAACACACACTCCCTCCTCCTGTTTCATTAGCACGCAACAACCGCCACCCAATCTGGAGAAGAGGCGAAATAGCAAGAGACAAGGAGCGTCCACGATACCCCGTCATCACCCCTCTAGACGCAGTATCTATACGGAGACGTCTCCGACGGAGATAGACCAATCAAAATGCTTTGTGCCTCTAGACCAAGAAAATCAATCTGGGGGGTTACGGG